CGTACCCAATAACCTCCACGTTTTAGACCTCCTCCTCATGACCACGTCCTCCGCCGTTTCCGTGCCCAGTAACCTCCACGTTTTAGACCTTCTCCCCAGGACCCCACCCTGCTCCATTATTTCTACCAACATTCTCACACTAAGCATTCTTCTACCTTTTTTGCAGCCTTGGATAGTCTTTACTCTAATTCCTAACCCTAAGGGTTTAAGGTCTGGGGTTTAGAGTTGAGGGTCTTAGGTTTTGGGCTGGGGTTTAGGATCTAAGACTCAGAACAAGTGTTTAATCACATGGTCTGTGGACCAAGGACTAAAAGTTTGAAAAATGAGGTCTGGGGTTTGTAGGATTGTGGAACTGAATTTTGCATATAGGATTTAGGGATTAGGCTCAATGATGAGGTGCTTGCGCCTAACACGTGGCACTGTAGCCTGTAACCGAATGCTTGAACCGATGAAAGCGCATAGCTGCAGAACTGACAATGCGATCCAACAAAAATCCGAAACGTACAGAGATTCGTATGCGTGATTTCTACGCACAGACTTGTCAAAGAAATTTTTCTGCGTTGATTGGGGAAAAAACCGGTACACAGCTCATCACAGCAAAGACTCTATCCTTCGGATAGGTACTTTGCTGTACAGCACCAAGACTCCTCACGATAGCACCAGCGCCATCCAGCACAAAAATGTCTCACAGCTCCGATCGGATGAACTTCGTCCATCTTCACGAATCCTGAAATAACCAAAGTAGGCCCGCCCAATGTATACTCGAGATAGATCAGACGATTAGTTTTCAAGAGTTCCTCACGCACGATTTTACCAACAAGTCTCTCATTCGGATACACGTCGGCTACGTCACGGCGTTCAGGCATCCGACGTCCTGACATGAAAGCATCCGTTACTTGACATACACACAAATAGAGCATGTAAGGCCTTCCAAGCGAGCCACGGCTTTGTCGATGTTCTCATGCAACGTTGTCTCCGCGTTGCAGAACATGATGTCCAATGACTGCAGCTAAGCAAAGTATGATCGATTCCGACGGCACACTAAACAAACAGCCGGCCTCGTTAAACATCTCAGGACAAGTCGCCACAAGTTGGCGGGCAAGCCAAGCTGCTGGAACTGTTAACTTTTCTGCGGCTAACGCTGCGTTCCACTTTTCCTGACGCGATGCTGCCTGATACAAGATATATACCTAATTATGCTTACAAAATACATGCCTGGATGGTCTGCAGCAGAAAAAGCTGCTGTTCGACAATCGACTGCTGGGACTTGGGTTGCCTTGCAATACCGCCGCAACACCATATACATGTTTTGTTAACTACGAAAATCCTGTTGCCGAAGCGCTCCGCCCAACTATGGCTGGTACCAGGCTTGCAGCAGAGCAAGCAGAGTCACGCGGAACGTGCTCTACAAGCTCTCTGCCTTGGGCAGCCATGCCATTGACGATCCAGACGCCTGAGTCACGCAAGAATTCATGAGGCCTTCGCAATTTATACCGCATCGATCCAATCCGAGAAAAGCACTGTCCGTGGTGTCGCAGTAGTGGACATTGCCTTGTTTCTGCGCATAGCTTAACTGTTCTTGCGAATAAAAATCGTATAAAATACAAGCAAGATAAACAATCATCTAAGATGTTAGCGGAGCTGGCTGCATCCGAAGCTTGCTTTCGTGCGGTACCGGTCTTGCCTCCACGCCTGTCTGCAAATAATCTTTCAAGTACGTATACTCGCCACATGAATGCCTGCCTCTTGCCGTTGCGAGACACGCGCATGAGTATCACGGCTAAGTCGGGATTACAGCGAAAACAAATTAATTGTCCAGCCGGCCACAGCTGCGAACGTCAGAACGTCATGTTTTTCTTGCTATCAAGCTTTTTGGACTCGCATTCGTCCCGCAGCGTCGCGCTACAGCTATTGATTGTTTAAGATCTGAACTCTTACCCATACAGTCTAGACGCTAGTATTGCCATACATACACTCTAAGCCCTAAGCCTTAAATCCCAAACCCTACTACAAACATGCACCATTCCCAAGCTCGGTTTCCTCGACGGAATGTTATCAGTAAACTTCCTCTCACTGGGGCTTTGCTTTTCCGGTACATATCTAAGAGATTCAGCACATGCTGCGAAAGGGAACTGTAGCTGTGGGTAGGTAATGGTTGAGCGGAGGATGATGTTTTCAATAAGGTTACAGTAATGTAACGGTTAACCGATCTCGCTGCTAAGGTCAGAGGATCTCAAGTCTCCACGTCGCCGATGGGCCAAAAGAAGCATCGCAGCTCATGCTGCAGCTCGTCAGTCGGTCTAGTTTCGGTGTAAGCATGAAGCATGCGTGCAGTTTCTGTGCTCAGGACGACTCTGATGTGAACCTTGAAAGCTTCCAGCCTACGACATACATTTACATGCTTATTGTATTTGGTATGTAAATAATGTAAGGGCCTAAATAATTACCGAAATTTTGGTTCCACAATCCTTTTTATAGTTCTAGCAAAGGCTATCTCAAATATGTATATATAAAGTGATACTGGTAATTATATAAATATTATGAGCTATCGTCTTAACTCCTAGTATCCCCCTTAATAACCGCTATAGTAATTCCCTAGATACTCCCGTACCTAAACATATTTAAGGAGTTTAGACTATAGCTCGTATTAATTATGTCGTCGAAGATGGGCAGCAGGTCCACGAAGCACCTGCCGCAAAAACAATTACGATGTACGTGTATATATCATTTTTTATAGGAAATATAGCTGCGGAAACATTTGGCGAAGCTTCTCTTATACAACGTATATAATAAGTACGTGCATATGTATACATAAAGTGATACTGGTAATTATATAAATATTATGAGCTATCGTCTTAACTCCTAGTATCCCCCTTAATAACCGCTATAGTAATTCCCTAGATACTCCCGTACCTAAAACATATTTAAGGAGTTTAGACTATAGCTCGTATTAATTATGTCGTCGAAGATGGGCAGCAAGTCCACGAAGCACCTGCCGCAAAAACAATTACGATGTATGTGTATATAATTTTTTATAGGAAATATAGTTATGGAAACATTTGGCGAAGCTTCTCTTCTACAACGTATATAATAAGTACGTGCATATGTATATATATATATAAAAGCCACTCACTTCCAGAGATCTTTAGATGCATGCTGCGTACTGGCAAGCTGCATCTGCCGCAGTTTGGATTATGGAATCTCAAAAAACACGCTACTGACAATCTGTTATGCGAGTTTGTGAAAGCAAGCAGAAGATGTAACAATACATTGTTTGCTATGGAAATGACATGGTACATGTTCAAGTTTTGGTTGTCAAGCGTTCTTGAAACTTTGTAAATTAAATTGTCAAGTAAGTATGTAAGCGTTTGAACGTAGCTGCTGCTGGCCATGCGTTTCATCAGACGCTCGGCTGCAAATAAGGGTTTTTGGTAGAATATTTGAGGTTGAAGAAACCCTTCGCCAAATAGAGCATAAAGGTCCTACACACATACTATAATATGGGGATTATTTGGGAGTATATTGGGACAAGGGAAAAGAAAATGGAAACTACTATAATATGCAGGGAATATATTAGGGGACACGTCGTGGACATATTGGGATAATGGACAAGAAAATGGCACCTACTATTTAGGGTCTAGGGTTTAGGTTAAATGGAAACTATTTGGGGTTTAGGGTTTAGGGCTATACTATTGTCCCCCAATCACAGAGAATCAAATGGAGAAGAACACGGAAAATGAAATGGAAACCACGGGGACAAGAGGGGTTATTCGGGGGTTATGGGCTTTGAAATAGCGTTTAGGGATATGTTGGGGGTTATGTTAGGGCTATTTTGGGATAATGGAAGAACATGGGAAATATATGGATTAAACCCTAAACCCTTTGGAGGTTGAAGTTTCAAGGGGCTTTACCTGAAGGTTGATGTGGAAATATCCGAAAAGAGAGGGGAGCCCCCCAATGTGGACCCCAATACGCTGTACTCCTTAGTATGGGGACCCCAAAAGGGATCCCTAAATTTGGGAAACTCCCCATGTTTGAGGAGAACCCAGGATGTAGACCTTATGGGCTATACATCTCCAGGAACTACCAAAGGGAAACCTACATCCACTCAATATTGACAGTAGCTCATGCACAATCCTGCCTTGACTTCCTGGTGCTGAGGTGGGGATGCAGGAGTAAAAACTCTAAGTAGGGTTTAGGATTTTCAGCTCGATCATCAAACTGCGATTAATACTGTGGGGCAGATGGGACCTGCGTGCTTGGATCGAGATATGGTTTCTTCAGGGTTCAGGGTTTAGGGTGATACCAGACCATTTCCATGGACTAGCCAAAAAGAATGACTTGTTGAAATCCTACGTCTTTCTAGAACAGCCGTGACGTGTTGTCAACCAGGTTCCTTCAAGTTCAAATTGGATAATGAGCCCCCCCAAACCCTAAACACTAAACCCCCCCCCACCCCATCCCCAAAGTTCTCTTGAGACACTGCAGCCCTATATCCTAAACCGTAAACCCTAAACCATAGATGGTAGTCTCCATCATTTTTCCCATTATCCCAATATAACCCCCATATAACCCTTGTAACCCCTATATAACCTTTTTTGTTCTTTCCACCTGATACTGGGTCCGCGGCGCATAAACAAACAACAGGCTCAGCAGCCACATCGGGAGATAAGAGGCTACCTGTGGTCAGGGGCTTGTTCGCATGAGCTATAGTCTAAACTCCTAGTATCCCCCTTAGTAATGGAGAATCACATGGAAAAGAAAATGGAAAATGAAATTGAAACTGGGACTTCATAGGGGACTATAGGGTTTATAGTCTGAATTCCTAGTATCCCCCCTAGTAACCCCTACACTAGTCCCCAGTATAATCCCCTATATAACACCCGTTCAGGAGTTTAGATGGCTCACATGTCTCAAGAGGTGACGTAAGCCCAAAGGATTAACGAAACGTGGAATATGGTAGTTTCCCAAAATTAGGGAACCCCAATATAGACCCCATAATAATATAATCCCTATTATGGGGACCTCCAAAAGCGTACCCCTAAATTTAGGAAATCCCATATTTATTGAGTCTCCCAAGTGAGGAACCGCAACATGGGATGCCAACAGTCAAGACAATCACGAAAGTCGAGCCTCCCAGATGCCTGATGCCTACATGACAATCAGTACTGTTGACATTGCACATCGCGAAGATCTGAAAACAACGACAGTCTTGCAGATTCCACGCGCACTCCCGAAGGGACCATACCAGGGGTTGCGGACACAACGCGGGCCGCCAACCATATATCTGTGGGGGATCTGGGGTCCCCCTCTTCTGACAAGCTGCCTAGAATCACGCCTCACCCTAAGAATGATGTACTTGACCCCCAGCCTAAGCCATACAGGATCTCTTCGTTCCCTTGCCTGCAAACCTTTGAAAAACACCAGAAGGCCTCTTTGGGCAGCCGTACGTCACTCCGAAGCGGAGTTTGCCAGCAGGAGTTCACGCGGTCCTGCAGCTGTAGATGTGAGGTTCAGCTGCATGTCTATGAGATGGTATGTGGCAAAGGGACTTTTGGACTCGCCAAGCAGTCTTGTTGTTGATGACGATGATGACGACGTGTACGGTGACAAGGATGATCACGGTGATGATGTCATGATGATCGCGCTCGCCTAGATGAATCACAGCATCACTGCAGGTAGAAGCATCAATACTTGCCTGTTGGTTATCGTCTCACTATTATTGCTGCAGCTCTCATTGTGGCTAATACTCGTAGCATTAGGTGGTAGTGGAGGTAGCAGCAGTAGTGGTGGTGGTGGTGGTGGTGGTGGTGGTGGTGATGGTGGTGGTGAAACACCGAAGCCCGACCATTGTGCAAATGTCTGTCCCGGTACCAGACGTGGTAGAAGTCCGGGAAAGGCTTCCAGGGGATCTCTCGCGCCGGGAACAGGTAGAAAAACCTCAGGTGGATACTCGGAATCTTTTAGATTAGCCATGAAACGGTTTGACTTTCCAAGCCCAATCTGAGGAAGGACTATCGCAAATGTAGGCTTCTCACAGCCTGCGACAAGGACCATACTGAGTCGGGATGTATTGTCATTTATGCCCAACTTATCCTACTTAGTCCTTGTCCCCCAGATAGGGGAACAATACTGGGTTGCTGTTAAGGAACTTGTATTAGTAACCATAGTATATCAAGTAGTTATAATAAGGAAATCCTATTATGCATTACATACCCATATTATGGTAACTTCAGTTCCTTAACAGCAACCCAGAATAAGGCATCACACTGATTATGCAAGGAGCAGTGATGGCGCCAGAAACAAAGCCAGGAGATGATGATGATGATGGTGATGATGATGTCATAGGTGGTGTACCGGTTTAGGGTTTAGGGTTTTGGGTTTAGGGTACCCATCATACCTCTTCCTACTGGGGTGTAATATGAAGGAAAGAAGGGAATACGTTCTGTAGGGATAGTGTTCCCTTATTCCCAACATGCCCAGCAAGTCTTGGGGCGCTCCATGACAACAGGATTTGCGTGCTCGATCATGATTCGGTGGTCTGGCGGCCACTGCTAAGAAGAGCGGTCCCGCTTCCTGCCCAAAAATCCTACGCCAAAATTTGAGAAGCTATAGCGAATCCATCCCTGTACAATGGCACTATCATCTCCCTCTGACCGCTGCATATCCCCAGGGGTTTTGGGTAAACCTATCTCTCACCATCTTTTCCAATTCTACGCTGCCCTGAGGATGGCAACAAGAAAAGCCAACTGCGACCAGGCAGCGTCCAGAAACCAAGTTCGCAAGCTTGCCTTCAAGGCACGTGTTTTGGGGAGACGGGTTTAGGACTTATGCTGCGGGAGTTTGCGAGCTTACTTGGGGTACATCCGGTGTAGGCTGTTCAGTTCACCAGTGTCTGAAGGAGGTAGGATGCGTCATTTTTTTTGCTTGTGCATTTCGGTCTACCGTAGGTCCCAAGGTTCCTGTGGGAGCGAATGGCTAAAGCGCCAAAACCATCATGTCACCCGTGTCAATGAAGCGCCCATGGCAACGAATGCTTGTCCATGACATGAGTCCGTGGCTATATAGCAAGTACATCTGAGCTTTAGGACGTGCGGCTGACCAGTCTCATGCTGTCAACTGAGATGTGGTGTCTGGTGGGGGCCTTGACTCAACACAGGTTAAGAGGTTTGCTGACTCAGATGCTGAGCATCCGTATGCGGACATGATGCTCGAGTCCCGGCTTATGGCCATCACGGATGAGCTCAGCAAATTGGAAGGGATGGAAAGGCGGGCAAAGGCAGCACGTGCTGCTTTCAATGTGATTGTCAAACTTCGTGGGCGTTCGTCTAGGACTGTTGGTCAGCTTCGCATAAATGACCTCTTGGGCTCAGAAAATCTTACATGCAAGCTACTCAATTAGGGATACCTTTCGGGGGCCTCGCTGGTTTCCAAATATTAGGGGCTAATTTAGAGAAAATCTAACTTGCTAACCTTATGAGCGCGGGGATGGCACAGGTATGTGGGGTTTGAAAAATTGAAAATGCAAAAAGTGCGAACATCCAAAAGGACATGCATTATCAAAAATGCGATTTGTAAATGCAAAAAATACAAGACTGCAATTTTATGAAAAAACAGAAAACAATGCAAACATAATTCGCAACAAAGAAGCAAAAATGCGAAGCATGCAACATAAATGCTGAACATGCACCCCTCTTTGAAGCACAAGTCAGAAGAGCATTTTTTGAGGCATTTTCAGTTCAAAGTCGAGAATTGGCCCTATTGCTAGGAAGCATCTTCAGAGCATTTCCAGGTAGCATTTTTTTGCATTTGGGAAATGGGCCCTCTGGAGGTGGAGAATTTTGAAATCGTATTTTTGGAGCCTTTTTTTGCAACTTAATGAGTTGGGGGTTCCATACTTCTGCCTGAGGCTGCCGGGCATAATGCTAACCCTAAACCCTGAATCCTACACACCCCATTTTTACCAGAGACACCTTGCTGTCATGACATGGGAGTATACAAGGGCCCCAAAAAGACTCCTATTCGCTAAGGGTTTAGGGTTTGGTGTTTAGGGTCGGTACATCCTCAGAGACCCTGTCCTGAACTTTACATGCTCCATGCCCAGGAAGGACACACATTTCAGCACCCCAAGTCTCTTCAAGCCCCTTATTCCAGGTCGTCAAGAGTTTTTACTAGATAAACAAAACCTGACAAAGCCCCAAGGCCTCAGCCATCTTCGCATGCACCACACCTTGAAGATTTTTGAGGTACTGGTACAAAAGTTAGGTGGGCCCCCGAAACCACTAATGGTGAACATAATGGACAACGGTGCTTATGTTAGGGCCCTCTTACATTCTTATCATGTCACCATTATACAGGTGGGGGTCCGTGTATTACAAAAGGGGCACTGTAAGCCCATGTTGAGGTATGAGCTCAAACAAAATCATGCTCAATCTCCTTTACCGTACATACGAATTGAGAAGGATGATGCTTAACCTCTCGTGGGATGCAAATTAAAAGCGTCTATCAATCTATATTGAGCTACGAATTACAAAGATCATCTTTAATCGGCATTCATTCCAGGTATGCATCAGTTCAACAACTGAGTTCCTTTCACAAAAAATGACCCGAAACGTCAAACCATATACTAACACAGACCAGCCACAATGGCAGCAAGACATAGACGCCCATGCCCTGCACCCACCATCGGTGCGCGTGTAATGTGGCTGAGGGTTTAAGGTGTATCGTCCCCCTCAAGTAGATAGACTATGGGGTATATGGGGATATTAATGTAATATACCCAAGGCCATATTCTATCTACTTAAGGCGGACTGTAGGGTATAGGATTTAAGATTTCTCCAGAACAGGGGAATCCTTCTCAAACTTTGGGGGTATAGGTGCGAGTGTGTTTTTCTGAGAGAAGTCTATCAGGGATGACATAAGGATAGTTTCGGACCACACGCGGGTTACGAAGGGACGATGGGGATGGTTGTTGAGGATTCCAATCCCCTCCCCCTAATGTTGGAAACCTGCCATCCCCTCAAAACAAATATTTCCAGTATAAAAAAATTAACACAATGAGAATATCTAAGATTAGGGGGGAGTGGGGGGCTTGAAATGGGGTGGAGGTGATTATAAGGGCAAGTTCAGAAACTTCCGGATGCCCAGGGTTTAGGGGTTCCGGGTTTGGCGTTTACTTACTGGGGGTTATTAGGGAATAAGGGAATATTTTACATAGGGATAATATTCCCTTATTCCCTGCTAGCCACCAGTAAGTGTAGGGTTTGAGTTCTGGGGATGCCTCCCTGCTACTATCTTCCCTCCCTTTCAGGCGTTGTTTGCTTGGCAGGTTACATGAGGAACCCCCTTAAATCCCACAGACCTAAACTGGAATTTCCCCATGAAGTTCTGGCTTCTTACAACAGCTGTCCTGAGAAGTATTTAGGGTGTAGAGGTGTTGCACCCTAAACCCTAAACCCAGAAAGTCGGACTTTGAAGACAGGTTATAATCTCAAGGGCTCCCCTACCCACCCCATACTGCCCGCCTCTGTTCGCCTTCATTGGCCTTAACGAGCCCTAGTTATCCTTAGGTAACCCTAGTCTCCGGGAGAAGCCTTTGGGGTGGCGTTTGGAGCGGTTTAGGGTTTAGGCAAAAGGACCCTAGGCTTCCTAAACCCTAAACCCCCTAAACCCTGAGCCCTGGATGCCGGTAGGATCCTCAGCTGGGGCCACATGCGAACTCTTACTGCGTGCGGCTGAATCTGCCCAGGTAGGCCAATACCCCTTAAACAAGGGATATACCTTAAATCATATCAGTAATTACAGGATATTCCTTATTTAGGGGGTATTGGGCCCTCCGGGTATCCCCTGCAAACATTCATAGACCTGTGGTCTGGGTGAATTCTACGGGACCCTCCCGTACTGTAGGGACCCAATGACCAATATCATGCTGTAGGGCTGTTTGAGATACCCCACAGCCAAAAAACGCAAGGAACTTTGATTCACCATTATCTTCCTCAACCCTACATGCTCCCATATAATCTGGCATCCTAAGCCCCAAGCCCTCAATTACATTGATACATTCCCCTAAACCCCAAACCCTAAGGGTCCAAGGACCATTACCTTGAGCCCGGGCCATCCGGAAGGGGTGCTAACTGCCTGCGCCGGCAGCATGCAGGCTCTTCAGGGTCCGCTGCATGGACCGCAGACTTAAAACCTTCAGGAGCAGGTTAAGGGATCGGGTTTACAGGATTTCGAGGTTTCCCCAGACGGGTTTTGGGGTTCCCCTCCCTATAATAAGGACTATGGTATTTTGAGGCCTATATTGAGGTCCCCTTCCATGCAGGGTTGGGGATTCAGAATTTCAGGATTGAGGGGTTCGAAGCCTGCGGAGTTTCTTCGGACATCTTGCATTGCTTTAAACACCTCAACAGCAATGATTCTTAACCCTAAGTCCTAATTCCTAAGCCTAAGTCCTAATTCCGAAGCCCTACCATAAAGGAGATGGTCGATGAGGTGGCGAGGTGGGGGGATTAGGGTTTAGGGTTTAGGGTGTAAGGTTTAGGGTTTATAGGTGGGAGCTTTATACCCCCGGCTTGCTGGCTGCTAATCCCTATCTCCCGGACTAACCTGAAATAGGTAATTGTTAGCAGGATATGGGTAGTTCCCAAAATGATGGGCCCCTGTTGGTTACATATTATTTTACTACCAAAGTAGGACTCAACTTTTGGGAACTACCCATATAAAAATCCTTATCAAGCGCCCTTCCAGGTTCCATGTTAGTTGGGACAGAATATATAGGGGTATATCGGGAATGGATGAGAACATGGAAAGGACTACGTGATTTAGGGCTTAGGACTTAGGATCATGATAACCCCCCGCCCACCTACCTCCAATATGGTACCATTCTATAATCGGGTGAATATTTATGATTACGGTGGTGGGGGAGGTTTGTTATTTGGGAGCGGATTCGTTCACAGGAAAAAAAGTGAGGAACGCACTGTAATTCGAACTACAGAAAGTCGTGCTAAGCTTGCCGACCCACTTCTGCTCATGGGATACTATTAGGCATACATACTTCAGCATGTTCCTTATTCAGTTTCAACATAACACAAGACAAGAGACGCGTCGATTTTCAACAGTAACCCAGATGAGTCAGGAGCCGGTTTCCGAGGCAAAGACCCATATGAGCTACAATCAGTATTTCCTACATAATTAATAGACCGGGGTTCCCTATTAGGGAATATATTGGGGACTGTAGGAAGGGACCCCTTCCCTAAACCCTAAACCTTATGCTGGCTTTGGGGCTTCAGCAGCTCCAGGGTTACACCCGTGCGGTGATGCCCAAAAGAAGCTTAAGGGTTTAGGGTTTAAGGGTTCAGGGATTTATCTATTTCTCCATCGTCCTCCTGAATAACTGCACAATCACAAGATCCCCATAGTGGGCCTCCACAAAGGGGCCCATCAACAATTCAGAGTAACTCAACGGGATCCAGGGCTGTTTGAGCTTTGGTTGAGATTGGCCTTGCTCACAATTTGCGATGAAGCAGAGGCTGTGATTTCTGTGCCAGTTGCAATGTAAACGCCTTGAACCCTGAATTCACAAGCGTTACAGATTGTGGATGCAGCATCTGGTGCAACCTTCCTTGAACCCAAAGCCAGAACGACTGTCAACCGGTGCCAAGGCCGTGGCAAGGGTGATGCAGGCAAAGGTGTTGTTCACCCGGCCCATCACCTGCAATCGCATCGCAGTCCCTTGCCCAAATAATCAACAAACCCCACTCCCCAACATAAAACATGCGTCTCAATATCT